AAGGTCGTCTATATCTATATCTAAGAGTCTTTGCAACATTATAACACAATTTAACTTTTTTAAATGCTTTAATTAAATATATTTTTTAAATAAAAGTAGGTAATCTGAAATTATACAAAATTGATAGGTAAGTTTAATGTGGTTTTTATAATTAATTATATAAACCTATCATAATTTTTTATGCATCAAAAAAAGTCCACGTTTCTGTAATTAACTTAATGCTTAACAATATAACGATTTTTCATTTAAATGTCATCTATATTTTACTTGTATAGAGTGTCTAAATTTATTTTATTTATTATCAGACAAAAAAGAAATATTTCTTGAAATTCTTGGAGAAATCTTTTTTAAAAAATATATTTTTGCACCACGTAATCCAAGCTAGTAACTCGCTTGTGAGCCTAAAGGTATCGTCGAGACTCGTCTGGGAGACTGCCTGGTTGAACTGAGAGCTCTGGCAGAAAGGAACAAATATAAATTATTAACAAGGCAAGGATCGGAATCCAATCTAAAATAGTTTCGGACTACTATTGTCTTTATTTATTTTGCCTACACAACGTTTCGGTCAGAAGTATCGCTGACCGTTACCAAGTGTGAACTAAACTAAATCCTAAAACTACTTAGCTTATACAGGTTGTTAATTGGTTTATTACTCGCGGCAAGAGCTGTATGGTTGAAATATGGCAACCTCGACGCGACGGGACGAGTTGGCAGAAAACCCTATAAGTGCATTCGTTCTCAATAGGCAGTGTTGCCATTCTGTTCCCCTATAAGTAACTGTCCAGTTAACAACCTGTGTACTAGAGCCGAGCATTCACCCGTGAATTTGTTGGTGCAGTCAAGCATGATATTTTCCACCAAGAACACCTGCATTGGAGCGATTTATCAGTGGTTGCCATATTGTTGAAATTTCCATACTTAGATTGCTAAAGATTTTATTATTGTTAGAAATGAATACGGCCTCTTTTTAAATTTGCGCTTTTTCCAACGGGGTTCTTTGTGGACAACCCGGGCTTCCGACCATTTTATGTTGTGGTGCTTGGACCACACATGATCTGCAATGCCCGACTTCATTGTTTCACCGACTTCATTGTTGTATATTAAATACTAGACTTTTAACCAGTGTGTGAGTGATCAAAATTTTAAAATTCAAAATTGTTCATGATTAATCATCAACAAAAAAGTCGTTTACCGCATATAAGGCTCTCCAGTAAGTATGATTTCAGAGCTTTGCGAAATGCGGGAAAGAATGAAAGTGACTTGATATTCAAAGGCAGATGAGTGTACATTTTTTTGGCATTGAACCTTTAACTAGTTCTGAGCTCGGAGTTGGCAGATAAAGATCGTGCTCCGCGTTGCGAAGTAGATAGTTATGGGATGGCCTTTCGGGTATAGCAGATATGTGCTTGCGGATAAAGCAAACGGATTCGAAAATAAATAAACAATGAAGAGTCAGTATTTTGAAATTTTTAAAGAAATTCTAGCAGTGAGTTCTACTGTTCAATCCCAATAAATATCGAACTGCTCTATTTTGAAGTTTGAAAATACGATCAAATTTTGTCGCGCAGCAAGTACCCCAGAATGGAAGGGCATAACGAAGATGCGACTCAAAATGGGCATAATAGTCTATTCTAGAGGTTGATAAGTTAAGTTCTTTGGAAACTGATCTTAGCGCAAAACAGGCAGCGCTTAGTTTCTTTGATAAAGCTTCGATGTGCAAGTCCAATTTTAACGAGTTGTCTAACCTTTAGTTTTTGATAGGTTGAGGCATAGGAGATTAGAGTCGCACCGAGATTTAATTTTGCGTAAATCACTTCAATTGGATGTAATATTGTCACGCAATTGGATATAATATTGTCTAGTGATTTTGCAGAGTAACATTTTGCAGAGACTGTTCGTTGTTGTATCGCCCTGTATCGGCGGCCGTTCAAGATTTATGCTTCGAAAAGTTTCTATACTCGGCTCTCGAGCAAAAGGTTAGCCGTTTCGTATATTTTATAGGTTTTACGATGGCCGTAAATTACGATACGTGTCATAACTTATTTCAATAGTTATTTTCCTTCTTTTGCCCGAGCGAGCGCTGCGCGAAACATATTAAGCGTTTCGCAATGCCAGCCTTTTTTACGACAGAACTCTTTAACGAACTTACAGTCAGCTAGTTAATCTCTTCTTTGATCATATTTTTTCGGCACAGATTATCCTAATTATACCATGGGTATTTTTATTTTTTAAAAATTTTTATTATAGAAAACAATTTTTTTTTGGTTTTTCTTTGATCATATTTTCGCGAACCTACCATAAACTTTACTTTAGAAGTAAAGAGAGGTAATCGTTTGCCATTTCTTGATGTTTTAGTGTCAACATTTCAAAATAACCTAATTTTAGATGTTTACAGAAAACCCACAAACACAGAGAAATACTTAAATTTCACATCTAATCACAGTATAAGTTTAAAAAAGGTGAAATACAAACCCCAAATCATAGACACAATGGTAACAATACACAATATATACAACTTACAATTCCATACATATACGAGGCGTTTCGGAAAAAATAATAAGGATAGATTACTTAGATCCATTTTATCACATACTAAACCAATGAATACAGAACAACAAACAAAAAATGTAATATAGGTACCAAATACCATGTCAATGCGATAAATTTTACATTGGTGAAACATCTAGACCCTTAAATGTTAGAATTAAAGAACATAAAGATTATTTAAGAAAGGGAGATTTTCACAAATCTAATATTTGTCAGCATTCTTGGGACACAGGGCACAGAATAAATTTTAATAACGCCAAAATTATAATGAAAGAAGCGATAACCTCTAAAAGAAATACAATCTAATAAAAATAAATGTATCGATCATGCATCTGTAGATGTCAGTAATATATGGCAATCGCTTCTTTGATTTTAAGGAACATAACATAAATAAACAGAATATAAACATACCTAAAATTTAAAAATTATCATACAGAAAGTTTGAGGCTTTTTGGTTTTACCTTATGAAGTAATTGTTATCAGGTAGTACATAATTATTAATTTTGAAGTTTAACTTGATAGAATGTCATTTTAACAGAACGTCAACGGTTTCTTGTAGACGTATCTGTTTTAAAAAAGTAAAGTGTTCTCGAATAGTTGAATTTAAATATTTTAAATAGTTTTTTTCTTTATTCTTTGTATTTTTTTTGCTTCCGACAACGGAAAGAGATAAACTTTGCGAAACGTTAAGCATTTTTTCTTTGTTAGGCAAATTTGTATAACTGTAAACATAACTTCTGACACATAGTGTCCGATTAGGTTTAATGCAGAAGTGTTTACAAAAAATAACTATTTTATTTTGTAGATTTTCTTGCAGTGCAGTGGCGAAATAACCATATAGGATTTTCTTGGAGAGATGAATCTGCCACATGGGTATAGACATTTTTTAATATCTCTAAGTCTATCTATTTTAATAAATTTGAAGTTAGTTCTGTAGGTAGTTTGAAATAATATCCATTCTACTAAAAACAGTATCCATTTCCTTTTTAATGTGATTTCCTCTACAACTGGCTACGCCACTGGTAGTCTTACGTCTCCTTTATTTACATTTAGCACTGGTGAATCGACTGTCATCGCTAAGCCAGTGCTCTTAATGAGGCTTGACAGCGGCGTACATAAATAATGCCGAGTTTTCCCGTCGCACTAATACGCATATTTTTTCCCGAGAAAAAGGCATTTTTCTCCGGCCAAAATAGTTGTCTCCGCGCCGCGGAAAAACGATAATTTTCCGCTGCCAACAGATGCAAATGATTTCACGTGTCGCTTTGAACGGTTTTAAAGGAAGCGTAGATAAATGAGGAGCTGGTAATGAGGCCCCGGGACGATCAATCTTGAATGTAGTGCCGAACAGCTGTCGTTACTAAGTCACCTTCCATAGGCGTAACAAAAATAATTTTACTTCTTTAATTTTCGATTTATTAAATTCAAAAATCTATACTAATATACAGGGTGTTTCAAAACAGATGCGAAAAACTTCAGGGGGTGATTCCTTGTTCAAAATAAAGGGTAGTTGGCTTCATAAACGTTGGGTCAAAAGTCAACCATTAGGGAGATATCGCGGTACAAAGATGGCGGAAAAATAATGTTCTTATTTTTTATGTTGAAAACGAAAAGAGATAGACTAATGAAATTTTATGGAAGCATTACTGTTATGAAAACACACTTTCTGGTAATTTTTTCACTTTTTTAAAATGAGTGGAAGGGGTTGAAATAAACTACCCCAATCATTCTTGTTAACGAAATTTAAAGAAAAATCTTATCAAACACATGCAAAAAAATTAATTTTGATAGTCTAGTTTATTTAGAAACTTTTTTATCTCTTGTGTTTTTTTGATAAAACTCAACGATTTGAAATTAAAAAATAAAATGTAAAGCATTACATGTCAGGACTAAAAATATTTTTAGATCAAGAATCTTAATTGGAGAAAAAAAAAAGTTAATGGAACTTCTCGCTGGATTCATTTTAAGACCCACTTCTTTTCTCTGAGTTTACCTTGTGTTATTTCTTGTCTATTTAATAATTTGTTTTATGTAAAGTGTACAAATATGGAAACACATGTTGTGAGGTCTTGAATTATAGTGAGATTATTATGAATTTTATAACGAGTAACGAGGCTTCAAAAATAATTATTTGCAGTGTTTGCGCTGTGTGTAGTCATTGATAGACAAAACAACAGCACGAAAAATAATGAAACAATTTATCACTAGTAAGTAATTATAAGTCAGCCATGTTAAAGTTCCATCAAAGTCACGATAATTCTGTTTAAAAGCTTCTCCCTTAGTCATTTTATTCCATGGTCTCTTTAAAAAGTCTGGTTATGACGAAAAAAAAAAGGAAAATAATAAAACAAAATATATTCATAACAATAAAAATATATTTTTCGGTTTCAGTGAAATAGGTATACAATTATGATATGATTTATTTTTATATAATAATAAGTTTTTATTTGGTATAAGATTTTTAATAAAGAAAAAAACATATTTTTTAATATTAAATTAATTTAAAAACATAGATTAGATATCATTTTTTCGGTAAACTGTATGTACAATATGATACTCGTATTAGTGTTTAAAAGAACATTAAAAAAGTTTGTCATTGAGTATAGAAAAATTGAACAAAAAACAATACTTTTGTACATAGAACATTAAAACAAAATAACATTTTTTTTGAAATTGAAAATTATTAAATGCCTTGTAATATTAGTAGTTTTTTTTATTTAAAATTAAACAAAAATAATTTTGCAGAAAAGATTCCTGATACAAGATTATTTTGCCATGTGTAATTATTTAAAAATAAACAATGTTATTAACATTTTTGACCTCTTCAGATAAAGAAATTTAAAAATAACACTCTCTGATCTCTTCTCCAACATAAAAAAAACTATTACAATATATACAATACAAGTAAACTTATCGAGAAACAACTATACATTATGCACATTTATAACAGATACAATATTAAAAATAATATCACATATAATGCTGTCTCAGTGATGTGACTTAATTACGAAAACTACAAGAAGAGAATTTCTTTAACAACCATTTTCATTTTTCAGATAAAAAATAATAATAATAACCTCCGAGTTCATTCGATCACTAATGCACACGAAGACTAGCAAAACGCGTATATTCACAACACTAACCATCCTAGGGATGCATTCCAGGAGTTGCAGCTCCCAACCTAGGTCCGTAAAGGGAGTAAGGATTAAGATACTGAGGAAATCCCGGGTGTCCTAGAGGAAAACCGGCTAAAGATGGCGGTAAAAGGGACGGTTTTGAGTAAGGATGGTACCTAGCAGTTGCCAGAGGTGACAAAGGTGGTGTGGGGTATCTGTGAAGTAGGGGATGCCCAGGAGACAGTCCCGGAGGCGTGAGCAACGATAAATTCGCGCCCGCTTCACTCACCGCACTCGTGTGAGTCCGTAAATGTCCCAGGAGTTCTTCAGAGTTCGAAAACCTCTTCCCACAGTACGAGGCATCTCCAGAAATCCAGTTACACACGTATGGGAGGTGGCTAGCTGCTGCAAGCGCTGCTAACTGTGCATGGGCGTAAGCACTGTACGCTACAGTAGTTGGAACTTTCGCATGATCACACTGAGTACATCCAGCGGGACAAGGAGGCTTCTGAGTCGCTCCTAACAGATGGGAACTCATACTACAACCAGTACAGTAAGGATCCCGACATGCCGCTAAAGAATCCTGAGTTTTCAGTCGGCCATATGATAGATAAGGGTTCAGAGCACTGCTTCGTGATATTAAACTCGAAGTCATCAGGTCCATGCCCAAGGGAGAAAACCCTGGATAACTACTGGTGCTCAGGAACGCTGAACCCGGTGAAGGGGGTACTCCAGGCTTAAAGGTACCCAGCGGAAGGTCTTTGATGGCCGGATCTGAAGAACTGGTCAAGATGTTGGGAGTAAACGCCGTCTTGGAGATTGAAGATGGTGTATGTGGACTACTACCGGCTTCTGAGGCTTTGTCAGGTGTTTTTGTGAGACTATGCCTGTCGTCTCCTGGAGTTTTTCGTTCTGATGACACAGCAGGGCTTTCTCTAGTTGATGTGGCGCTCTGGTTACTCCCGCATCTACCGTTGACTTGTCCGTTCTTCAAAGAGCTTCCGCTGTTTGGTGTTCTGACCCTATTCCCTACAGAACTTGAGCGTTCCTCTGGAGTGGAACTCTTCTCCATTGAACTGGGGTCCAGTTGCATCTTGCCATAGTTTGATTTCGGTGCCAAGTCATTGGAGGGAGTGGACCGCAGTTTTTCCTTGTTGGATTCTGAAGATCTTTTGGAGGATTTCTCAGCGCTTTGGAGTAGCTTGGCGTTGGGAGCGTCCGCTCCTATTTGGGAACATGTCTGGGCGAGTAGAGCTAGAGGACTCTTCTTGGCATCCAGCTGAAAAAAGAAAAATAACATAAGTAATTTTTTATGACGTTTTAGTGTACTAGAATAGTAATTATATATTTTAAATAGTGTTCTTTCTGTTTTTTTTGTAAACCCCGTACTTGTTTTATAGATTTATGATACTTATTAATAAAAACATGATCAATTTGAGCTTGTTTTTGACACTAACTCAACAAATGCTAAAGTTAATCGTATTACAAAAAGTCTTTTGATGTTTTACAAGGGTATCCATTGTCGTAGACTATAAAATTATAAAATTGATTACAAACTCTTTGTTTTGTGCTAGTTGAAAAACAAGCCGGGGTTTTTTATTATTAAAAATAATTATCCGTAATGTCCCCGGTCTTTGTCTAGCATCAGCTTCGTCCTTTTTCAGTCCATGGTACACAACGCAGCTCGACGTTGATTAATAGCCCTTGCTGACAGTCTCATTTATCATTTTGAGCAACCGAAAAGCAATTGAAAAGAATTATTTATTATTTTATGCCAGCGCGGATGGAAGAATGGAAACATTATCTATTATTGATGGGCGATGAGTCTGAAAAGTTGCCCTAAATTGATTATACTATAAAAAGTTACCCAGGGTAGAAAAAACACAAGCAAACAAACAATAATAGTTATTTTTTATACGAGACGATAATGCAATTTTATCGTGGTGTATAAAACAATATTTTTTCCATAGCGAGTAACGTTTTAAAAAAAATCACAAATTATTATTTCAAGGAATTTATGACGAGTAGAAAAAATATTGTGCTGGGTTGGCCTTGGTTTCTATGTAATTTGACAAATAAATAGAACTGTCTTTTTAGTTGTCAGTTTTGAGTCAATATTTTTTAATTCTTTCATGTCGATTGCTGATTGAATTGGAGCCAGAAATGGCTCAAAACGAAATAAATAAATTACCAACAGATATTCAGGCTGAGGCGACAAACGCCATATCCCAACTACTTCCATTTAAATCCCGAACAACTTGTGAAAAGGAATACAAAAATTTTCAAAAATGGAAGCAATTAAAAAACGTGCGAGAAGAAATTGAGTTTTTAACCTATCCTCACTGTTAAAGTGTCATTTATGGAAAAAAAGATATTTTTCTAGCTAAGAATACCATTAAAAAGTGTTTTTTTTTATCAGGATGTAATTAAAAAATGATTTATTGTATTTTTCCTGACCGTTTACGTGACAAATTGCATACATTAAATGCATATAATATTTAAATGATATTTAAATTGTTTCTAAAGTTTTCGTTAATTGTGTAATTTATTTGTTATTAACGAGACAAATGTAAATGACATTATAGATACATTATTATCCTTGTACACAAAATACTCCATTTTCTACACTGACTAAGTTTGTTTTTCTAAGCCGACTTTGTAGGAAATCGCGTTTCGTGCTCATTTGTTTATAAATTTCCACATAGCAATTAATCATAGCCAATTACTTTTCCTTCTGTTAATTATTAACATTACGCGGCGCATAAATCTCTGTCGGAGTTCGCTTAATGCGGCCATTCATCATGCGCGCTTGGCATGACGTTTCTTTTTTTTCGCTTATTACGACGGCTTATTAATTTGGAAGAAATTATGCCGTTCCATTATCCGCCAAATGACTCACAGTCATTTGGAAATCTTTTTTGTTTGTTGATCAATGTCTTTTCATAAATTTACCTTATTTTTAAACAACGATTAGTTATATTGAAAATACTTCTGGGGTTTTCACCAGTAGACATTTTAATAATAAAAAACCCTGGTTTGTTTTTCAACTAGCAGAAAAGAAAGAGTTTGTAATCAATTTTGTAATTTTATAGTCAATACCCTTCTAAAACATCAAAAGATTTGTTGTAATATGATTAATTTTAATATTTGTTGAGTTAGTGTCAAAAACAAGCATTTATTCATGGTGTATACTTTAATTTGATCAAATTTTTGATGATAAGGTTCATGAATCATTGTAATAGGTACAGAAATCTCCTAAAATGTCTATAATCTAGATTTAAGCTTCAAATTCGGATGTATTTCTATGATTTGAATCAGATAATTCATTTTTTATACAGATAAATTATATTTTTCAGTATTTGGCTTCCTTTGCAATTACTTTCTTGATAAATCATCATAAATCAATAATAATTCAAGCTAAAAAACTACGAATTTCTATTGTTTTATTGGCTTGAATCCATTTTTTGGCTCTAATACTTTTAAATTTATGAACGTATGACTTCCTTGTTAATTATTAGGTAGTTACATCATCAGGATTTCAAAAATGTTCATTTAATTTGGCTAGGAGCTTAAAAATTATGGCTTGCTGTTGTTTTTATTTTTTTAATACAGTTTTTTGGCTTAAATACATTTAATTTTAGAAACATTTGATTTCCTATTCAATTTTTATGTAGTAAAATGATCATAATCCTATAAGAATCTTTCATAGCTTCTTCATTTCTGCTCTAAGCTTAAAAATTATGGCTTTCACTTGTTTGATTGGCTTTAATTCGTTTTTTTGGCTGAAATTCATTCAATTTACAGTTCTTAAATATGATTTGGTGGTGAAATCATTAAAAAACCCACCAGAATTTCTAAAAGATTTATTTAATTTAGTTCTAAGCTCTAGAAATTATGGCTTCTTTAAGTTTGATTGGCTTGAATCCATTTTTTAGCTCTAATACTTTTAAATTTATGAACGTATGACTTCCTTGTTAATTATTAGGTAGTTACATCATCAGGATTTCAAAAATGTTCATTTAATTTGGCTAGGAGCTTAAATATTATGGCTTGCTGTTGTTTTTATTTTTTTAATACAGTTTTTTGGCTTAAATACATTTAATTTTAGAAACATTTGATTTCCTATTCAATTTTTATGTAGTAAAATGATCATAATCCTATAAGAATCTTTCATAGCTTCTTCATTTTTGCTCTAAGTTTAAACATTATGACTTTCACTTGTTTGATTGGCTTTAATTCGTTTTTTTTGGCTGAAATTCATTCAATTTACAGTTCTTAAATACGATTTGGTGGTGAAATCATTAAAAAACCCACCAGAATTTCTAAAAGATTTATGTAATTTAGTTCTAAGCTCTAGAAATTATGGCTTCTTTAAGTTTGATTGGCTTGATAAGTTGATATTTGAGGTTCTTGCTCTTTAAGAAAAGTTCAGCTTTAGAAATAGAGAGTTTTGGTAGTTTCATTCATTTTAGTCCAAAATTTTGGCTGAAATAAATTTAGTTTCATCAATATTTGGCTTTCTTCCAAATTAATTTGTAGTAAAATCAGCACAACGTTAATAAAATCAGTCATAATCCTTCAAATTGTGATACCTATTTTATTAAAAAATTGGTTTGTAAGCTTCAAAATTACTGCTTTCTATGGTTTGATCCAAACTTTTACACGGAAACGACTGATTTCTATCAGTTTCACCCAATTTTAAAATTGAAGAATTTGAATTAAGTTGATTTTGGATTTTCTTCCTTGTTATAGAGTCTTGTAATTGTACTTTTTTTGATGCATGATGAATTTTGACTATTTCTAGATCCAAATTTACCAAACTGAAGATTATAACATCAATTTCAACAGAAATATTGAAGCTTTTTTGGACATTCGCCTTTTTTAAAGAATCTGCATATAATACAATATCCAAAAATTTGAAATTCATCCATATTTAATATCTTCAATCCATAACAAGTTTCCGTAAAATTTAACACAACATATGCAAGCTTTTTTAAGCTTTATTACTTTCACTCCAATCCGACAGCTTGTATTTTTGAAATAAATGGACGCAAATGAATCAGAGTATATCTCCAATCCAAGACAATGACCCAACCTACCGTTGTTGGTAAAGGTGTAAGGTATTCGGGCCTCAAATACTGATTGGACGAAGTCAACATCTTCCTTCACTACAAATCGTCTATTTTACTAATCACTTCGATCACCACTGTCATCTAGACCAACTAATCTCAATATCCTGACCACTTTCAATCACTGTTACCATATCCAGAACGCGTATACTGAAAAGCCTGATTCACGCTTCAACTACGTCAACAAAACTAAGACCGTGACTCGACTAACGCGCTTTACGATTTCGAACCGACTGAAACGCGAGGCTCTCTCTACACGTCGTTCGTGCGGCTGCTTTGTGACGTCACCGTTATCCAACCTTCTCCTTTCATCCCGTGCCTTTTCCTATCTCTTTTCTTGTCATCGAATGCACCCCCGACCCCGCCGCGTCTCCGGCTTGTTAGTTTGACACCCTCGGCCGACTTGATCGAGGTGTTGCGGCTGCGAATGTGTTTTGTTTTGATGGGCGATGACAGGCCGACAAGATTTTACTGTTTCGGGAGAGTTTTTGACGGTTGCGGGCGAATTGGAGACCGGAAAAAGGGTTTCTTTGGTGTTTAGGGTGGTTTTGGTGTAATTGGGAGATAATAGATTGACTGGTACAGGCGTGTCATTTCGTGATGAGTTAGTTAATTAGTCTAAAGAATTTTTGATAAGAAGCATAGTCAAATAGTTAGAGTTGGTAGTATTTTTAAGATACATGGATCCAGAAGATCAGTTTGTTAGTGATGAGCAAATCTCTTGGTCTTGGTTTGGGTTGGTATCACGTAAACTTGAAAAAATGCAAGACCGCAAGACTTCTTGTAGATCAAATGCCCGTCTCGGTCTTGGTCTTGCTTTTTGTTCAAAGTCTCGACCAGTCCGATATTATTTTTCTTTTGAGTGATACACGCATACTACATAGTACATTGTAGAAAACTCTGTGTTTTAATTTCCAGAATGCTCTTGAGACGCTGCTAATCCTGTGATGAATTTCAGACTCGATATTGGCCTTTTCCGAAATCAAACTGCCAAGGTAATTAAATTCCGCTACATATTCCAATAGTTCTTTTCCGATTTTTATAGCATTGTTGTAATCTTCCGGGGGAGTGCACATGATTTTAGTTTTATCGATGTTCAGCTTAAGGCTCAAAGCCTCGTATGACCAGGTATATGTGTTCAACATTTATTGTAATTACTGTAACGTTTTTGCAACTAGAACGCAGTCATCAGCGTATTGAAGTTCTATGATGAATTTTGTACGTGTTTTTACGTTGAAAAAACCTGTATCTAATGCTCAATCCTCTTTCCTGCAGTTTGCTGTCCACTATAATGGAGATCGCTGCCATGAATATGTTGAATAGGAGAGGCGCTAAGACACATCCCTGCCTAACTCCTGTATTTGTTAGGAATTGATCGCTCAGTGATCCATAATGTGACACTCTTGACTTGTTGTTGTTATGGAGGCTTTTACACACTGTAAGAAATTTGTTGGGTCCTCCGAACTTTTCCATAATTGCCCAAAGCGCATCTCTGTTCACAGGGTCGAAGGCTTTAGTTAGATCGATGAATGCAACATAAAGTTTAGACTGCTGCTCTTTTACTTTTTCCTGTATGATGTTAGGTGTGATGATGTCAGCTGATGATCAGCTGACTTACTAGATGTCTTTCGTTTATCTATTTAGTTCTTTTCAACATCAAGAACTTTGGTTTAGTTATAGTATGTGTGTAATAAGATGTGTTGAAAGATAAAAATGTATCTATTAATTTTTTTGTTAAATGCGTAAAAATCTTTCTAAAATTGCGGACTTTTTGACAGCAACATTGCTTTAAACTGAGGCGTGCTTAATTAAACACCATTAAAACGAAAAAATGAATGTAGGAAAAACAATAAATACTTCTACTACATATTTTAACAATTTTTATTGTGTTTTTGGATAAAAATCCTTCAACCTTTCATTCGACGAAAGTTGACTGTAAAATCCTTCATATTGAATGAAATCCTGACAACACTGTAGAGAACTATCCTAAGCCCCAAGACTGTATGATGAGTTATATCTCAAGAAATGTAGACATAATAGATCTATAAAGTCGTGGAAACCCTAGACTAGCGAACAAACTAATTTTTTGAACAGTTTCATTTATCAAAAAACAAACAAATTTTGTTCGAAACTCTCTTTTGAATTAGTTATAAATATATTTAATTTTCTGTCGGGCGATTTTTTCCAGTCTGACTGTAATTTATCACCGACTTATTTGTTTCTGAAATAACTGCCATAAATCACTTGAATTATTAATGGCCGTTCAGTTTGTCATGTCCGTTCGATTTAATTACTTTGTTGTCGATTGTAAAATGTGGAAAGAGCGCAATTTATAATCTGCGTTAGAGAGTAACTGGTCGCTAGTGAATAACGTGTCTCCAGTTACAACATTATCGAGAGATTCGTTATTATTTATTACTTTTATTTGTAAACTTGTGGTATTTTGTTGAAAAAATTCTGGCAATTTTCCCAAAGAAACAGAAATGTATACAGGGTAGTACGAACTGTATTCCGAAAAACTGTATTCGGCAGCATATTCTGTACATAAAAATAAGAAAAAAAAGTTCCTATAAATGTACGTCCTAAAATGCTTAGTTTCGGAGATACAGGGTGTAGAAGTTTCATTTTTATTTTAAATTTTTCCAAATAATTTCTGAAGTAACGTCAATATTTGGATGAAAATTGGTGCCTGAGATTTTTTGACACGAAGAATTTGATTTTGATGTCAATATGACTCCTACCTGTAGGGGGCGCCACCTACATATTTTTTACTGGTTTTAAGAGTAATAACTTTTCGCCCGTACGTGTATAAAACTATTGACTAAAAAAATATTCATTTCCATGAGTTTTTACGTAAAAAATGTCTCTTGGTAAAAATCGCTACGAGCAACCGTTCTCAAGATATTTAGAATGGAAATAGTCAGACAGCGGGGGTAACTTCGACATGTATATTATAATGCTTTTTTTGTTGTTTTTCAGGTTATCCAAATTTTTTCTATTGCTTTTGTTTTCTTTAATAAATTTTTTGTATTATAATTTTGTTTTATTTATTTACTTTTATTATTTTTTTTTGCTTTAGTTTTTCTCTTCAGGTTTGTTAATTTTTGTTGAAGATGCCGCACACCTACGTCAAAAAGTGGATTAAGTGTGTCACCTGTGGAAAGTGGATTTGTGGATATTGCAACGGTGGTTCCAAACAAGTGAGATACGAATGCCCTCCATGTTCCGACGATGCGATTAGAATTTCGTTCCTACTGTTTGCTTTGTTTTTTATGTTTTAAACTTGTTTTAAATGTTGTGTATTTATGTTTTTTACTTTGTTCAATGAGTTTTAGTTAAGTTAAAATAAAGTCTTTAAAGTTCTGTTAGTTCAGATGCAAAATGTGCTAGGTAGGTATACCAAAGTTTCTGAAAATAGATGACTGTATTTTTTTTGTTTCGTTTGTCTAATTTAGGCCTATAAACTATTCGCTAATGTTTTTAGTTAATAATTCATAATGAATTTTCTTTTTTTTGGTGTCGAAGTTGCACCGGTGACGTCTAACTTTGACTTCATGTAGAATTAAGTATGGTGTCGAAGTTACCCCAAATGCGGGGTAACTTCGACACCAAAAAAATAAAATAAAAAAAAAGTAGAAGGAGGGCTGAGGGGGAGTTGTTTGTTCGGCTATGAAGAACAAAGGCTTCAATTGTTACGACGACACATAAGTCACGGTTCTCAAGACAATAGTTTTCTTCACAGAGCACGAAATACAGCTGAAACCTGTCGAAGTTTTACGGTAGTTATTTGACTGAAATAATATATTTTTATTTTTTTTTAATTATTAATCATAATTTTTTCTGCGAAAGGAAGATGATTAAACAGTTTCTGTTGAACTTTTGACACAAAAATATTTCAAATTTATGATTTCAGTCTAATAACTATGTTTAATTTGATAATTTGATAATTTGATGACAGGTATTGATCATTTCAATTCTAAATATCTCGAGAACCATTAGTCGTAGCGATTTTTACCAAGAGACCTTATTTATGTAAAAAAAGTTGTAAATGTATATTTTTTTACTCAGTAGTTTTGTACAGGTGCGGACAAAAAGTTATTACTCTTCAAAACAGTTAAACACATGTAGGTGACGCCCCTTACAAATAGGAGTCATATTGACATCAAAATCAAATTTCTCATGCTAAAAAACTCCCAGATACCAATTTTCACCCAAATATTGACGGTACTTCAGAAATTACTTGGAAAAATTCAAAGTAAAAAAGAAACTTCTACACCCTGTATCTCCGAAACTAAGCAATTTAGGACATATACATTTATACGAACTTTTTTACTTATTTCTATCTGTAGAATATGCTGCCGAAGTTTCCGGAACAGAGTGCGGTCCACCCTGTAAAATAAACTAAAAAAAGCTACTTTTGTATAGTCGTACTTGGTTTTGGAAAATACTCCAGGTTAGTCCAGTGAATGAAGGTTGAAACCACGCGAAAGAGACTCTAAGAACAGCTATTAAAAAAAAATTGACAAATATGATTAATTTATATCGTTTTTCTCCGAATTTTAAATATTCAACCGTAGCTCTCTATGATTGCAAAAACAAGATCATTATTATGAATTATCTCTGTGTTTGATTTCGGTGTCATGCCGCTTAAAAATAGCGGGTGATTTATGCACGCTCTGTACTTTTACGATTATACACGTCTAGTAAATGAAAACTTATCAATGTATGTGTGTGCGAGCTGTGGTTATTTATACGTTTCCATATCATATTTTGATTGCTGCGCCTGTCTATTTTTAGAATTAATATGATTTATTTTGTTGTTTTGTCGGATCGCTATGAAATTCTGTGAAGTAACATGATTGTTAATGTTGTAATTAAAAAAAAAGAGATAATTGATAGGGTTTGTGTATTAACTTAATAAGGAAACAGGAAAAGATACAAGAAATCATTGATTAATGAGGTTTTTCGAATTCATTTCCTTGAGTCTGTAAAGCACCTGTAACTTACAGTGTTCACCCTGTCGTCGTCGAACTAGTCCCAACCCTGGAATCGGTCTCCAGAGACCTCTTAATCGTATCCAGACCCTTTCCAGACGTTTAACCTGCCGCTCCTTTGGGAATAATCCAGGAAATTTCATCTAAATTTACCAGAATACTCATTCTGAAATTAAATAGTTATTGCTGGAGGATTTTTCATGTTGCAACTTTTTTATAGAGGGCCTCTGTAGCTCATAGAATAAAAAACTTTGGAATTT